TTTCAAAAGCCGAGATGATCCTCAGCTGATTTCGACCCTTGCTCTCGAAGTATTTCTTCATGATCCTGCTGACAATTTCTCTCTCCTTTCCAGCTTTGCATCTGACCCCCCAGATAGACGGGGAATTGACGTCGGGCATGAGCAGGTTCTGAGGCACGAAAGAGCCCTGGCTCAGAGCAGCAGCTGTTCTCCGACCATACCGCTCTTTGTAGGCTGCCGCCTGTTTCTCCAGATCCATCGAGGCCTCCATCTGTCGCTGGCGATCCAGTTCCCTATGCCTCGCGTCGTCGTGGTCTGCTTCAGGCGGGAGATCGTCGTCGGGATGATTCTGTTCGATGAAGTCCGGCCCGAGCTCGTCCTCCTCGGCTTCAAGTTCATCGTCATCCTCGTCGACTTCGGCTTCTTCTTCGAAGAACTGATTCAGACCTCGTCTCCGGCGCTTTCTGGGTCGACTGGTGATGGCGTCTTCATCCTCCTCATCCTCTTCTTCTTCATCTTCCTCGTCCTCATCTTCTCCGTTCAAGTCTTCGCCTTCGCCTTCATCGTTTTCACCATTATCCGCCTGCTCTTCTTGGTCCCCTTCATCATCGTCCTCATCGGGCGGCGGTCGTCTACTTTTGCGCACTGGAGAGGTCGACTTGTTGCCGTTCACGGCAGGTGCGGGGCGTTCGTCGTCGTCGTCCTCGTCCTCGTCCTCGTCCTCATCATTAGCTCTTCTCGCAGTGCTCTGCGGTTTTGAATCTTCATTATCCTCATCTCCGGCATCTGACCCTGCCTCGGCCCCGGGGTTGAAGTCATTGTCTGATTCTTCGTCGTCTCCACCAAAGTCTTGGTTCAGCCATGATTGTCCGGAAGCCATCCTGGTCGGTGGATCTCACAAAACAATGCTCTGGGAGGCCGTGTTCGTAGATATAGAGGGATCGACAGCTGGCCTTGAGAGCGGCCGGGAGGGAAGAGATGATAGAGGTGGGAGATTGTGAAAGAGGCGAGGTGTTGGTGACAGCGAGACCAAAAGAATGTCTTCCTCTACAGCGCAGGCGACTTGATGCTTGGCGGGAATTTGATATCACGTGATTAGTTCTCCTCATCACCAGTGGTCCCTTCCAACACTACTCAGCAGAGTTTGAATGTCACTCGAAGCCCTAGAGTTTCAGTTCAGATATTTGCTGCAATCTAGAAGACCAACCACGTTGAAACCCAACCTCTCTAATATGAAGCAGTTTTTAGTAAAGTCTACCTTTGGGCGCCGGGGCTGAGCGGAGATTCGAGAACGAAGTCGGATGGCATGTGCTCGTGGAAACCACCAGAGCAAATTGACTTAACCTTGAGGCTGATGCCAACGATTATTGCTCCCATCCACCACAAACCTCTGGTTAACTGATATGGAGCCTCTGCCCTCTCTGATATCCATCGTCTGTGGGTTCTCCGTTGTATGGTTACGTCAAAAAGGACAGTGGCAAATGAGTTCGACATGGACGCCGTCGAGCAGCCTCGACATATGGCGAAACACAGGATGAGGTGCAGACTGGCAGCAATCATACTCCATTTCAAGTTAATTCTTGATGCTCATGCCTCCTGACTTCAACGGGATCGAGATTTTTTCAGTTACGCAATCTTCGTTCCGTCCTCTTGGACATACAAATGCTACACCAAATGTGGCCCTGTCGGGTTTTCATAAATAGCCTTGCTTTTTAGATCAAGCTTCTCCACCCAGGTCGTTCATTTCCAATCCACCTCATTCCTCGGTCTCTTCATTTACAACTTCAATCCCAAATTAACATGCACCGCCTTCGTCTGACTATAGGCCGCTAAACCAGCCTCGCCCAGCTCTCGCCCGATTCCGCTTTGCTTGACGCCACCAAATGGCACTCTGAAGTCCGAATCATTCGACGAGTTGATCCATACCATGCCGGCCTCGATCCTGGCTGCCACACGATGTGCGCGCTCGATATTGCTCGTGAACAACGCGCTGCCAAGGCCATAGGTCGTATCATTCGCCATACGCACCGCCTCATCTTCTGTCTTAAACGATGCAATCACCACGAAGGGACCGAAGATCTCTTCGCGGTAGATTTTCATATCGTCCTTGACCCCCGTGAAGATGGTGGGTTCGATGAAGAACCCTTTTCCGTCGCCGACGTTCTTATGCGGAACACCGCCGGCTGCCAAGGTTGCGCCCTCCGACTTCCCGCTCTCGATGTATCCGAGGACTTTCTCATATTGAGCCTTGGTAACTTGAGGACCTTGGAACGTATCGTCCGCAAAAGGGTCGCCGACTTTCGATGTAGTCTTGACCACCTCTTTGAACTGCTCGACGAATTTGTCATAGATACCTTCCTGAACGAGCACGCGGGAGGTGGCAGTACAGATCTGACCCATGTTTGACATGATTCCAATATGGGCCCATTTGGCGGCTTGGTCGAGATCGGCGTCGTCAAAAACAAGGAGGGGCGACTTGCCGCCGGTTTCCAAGGTGATGTTCTTCATGTTGACGCTGGCAGTCTTCATGATTTGTTTACCCGTGACCGTGCTGCCGGTGAAGGCAATCTTGTCCACGTCCAGATGGGAGGCGAGGGCGTGGCCCGCTTCCCTGCCATAGCCGTTCACGATATTGATGACACCGGGAGGGAAGATGCCAGGGACGAGACTCGCAAGGTAAAGAATCGAAAGAGGGGTCTGTTCTGCGGGCTTGAGGACCACAGTGTTGCCGCAGGCGAGAGCAGGGCCCAGTTTCCATGCTGCCATAGCCAGAGGATAGTTCCAGGGAATGATCTGGCCGCACACGCCAATGGGCTGCTTGAGAGTGTAGGCGAATTTCTGAGGTGTGGTGGGGATTGTCTCTCCATGGATCTTGTCCGCCCAACCAGCATAGTATCGAATGCAGTTGACGACCTCGCCCAAATCCTCGTTCAAGGCGACACTGTAGGGTTTCCCGTTGTCCCATGTTTCCAGCGTCGCCAGCGTTTCCTTGTTCTCTTCCAGGACGTCTGCGAACTTGTACATGAGGGCGCCGCGGTCGGTAGCCGGAAGGTCACGCCATGAAGGATCGTTGAAGGCCGCTCGCGCAGCTTTGACGGCTTTGTCAATGTCATCTGCGGAAGCTGCCTCGACGGAGCAAATTTCCTTCTCGTCCCTAAGCAGAGGAGAGGGGTCAGTATTGGTCGAGGGGCCATACCAACGCCCGAGAGGGTTCGTAGCGTCCACTCACGCAGGGTTGATGCTGGTGATCTTCTCGCCCGAACTCGACTTGACGAATTCATTGTTTATGAAAAGACCTGTTGGCAAGGTGATTTTGCGCCCATTGGGAGCTGTCAGCTCGACTTTCAAATCTGCCATCTTGGACAATGTGTGCGGGCCGGTTGAAAACAGTCGCAGCTCAATATGCTTGTTCCGAGAACGGTTCCAGGAAAGAGCGCGGAAGGAAGAGTACCTCAAAGTGGGCAACAGAAACTTCGACGAGCACTTGTACATGTAAAAAGGCAAGTCAAAGGAGAAAAGAACCACCCGGTTTTTGGATATGTCTAATCAAACAGGACAGACCCGCGTCGGCGTCGTTACAAGAGGGACAAGCCAATCCTAGCGACCAGTTGGGCAAGCTCTGAGAAGTTGTCTGGTTCGCAGGGACCAGCGAGCCACCCAGGAGCTGTTTCGGGACTTGATTGCCTGTTTGGAGCTGTCTAAGCCCACGGCGATCAGCGAGAGAGCAGCAGCAAGTCGCTGAGCTCCGATAAGGAAGAGGAAAAGAGGGGAACCAGCGACAGCAAGGTAGGGCAAGGAAGGGCAAGAGGGCAAGGAGGGCAAGTGAGGGGCACCTTCGATAAGCAGAGAGTGGCAGTTCTCCGGCTGCGCCTTCCCTTCCTGGGGGGGAAGCCCCTCAGGCCTAGTGGCCCAGTGCCTAGGCACCGAGTACTTGATAGGGACCCAGTGCGCACTTACTAATTTCTGCCGCACAGGCACATGCTCCTCTCCTTGACCAGGAACTTCAGCCTTGTCCCGTCTCGCTTTTGCCGAGGTCCTGTCGCCATCGTCCGGGATCAAGGGGCGAGAGATTGTGGAGGAGCCGGAGGAGCTTGCCGGGATGGTGGAAACGACCCTCATGCAGCCTGCAAGAGCGGAAGGGAACCAGAGCACTGGCACTCGGTATTTAGTATGCAGCTCGTAAACTTACCAAAACCCCACGTGGAAGGCTAGACCCGAGACAGAACCAACGGGAAGCGGCACTGGGCTAATTTCCGTCGTTGGGAGCATTTCACTCCTCTTTCAGAATTCGACAGGCCTCTTCTGCGGCGCCCAATTCGTCATTTCGAGAATAAATCCTTGAAGCTGGCAAGAACAGGAACGAGGGCGAACGAGGCTTGAGGGATTGAAGTAGAGTTCTGGAGCGGCGTAGCGCCTTGGGGCGAACACAATTTGTGGCCTGGAAACGAGCCTGTGGTCACCTCTGGAGGTGCGAAAAGATTTCAATCCTCATCGAGATAACGACAACCGGCCAAGTCTGACGCCTTAGGTACACAAGCGCCCGAAGGCGCACGGCGGCGAATGCAACTTGCTCATTTGGGAAATGTCTCGCCTTCATCCAAGGTCCATTGCTGTCTGGGCCCCGCGTGTTCGATACGAGGCTTGAGTCGCGGGAAGCATCCACGCAGCCCAGATCGACTCTGTGATATCCCTGTTCGAAACCTTCACCATCTCAGCCGTATTGCTCTTCGTGTTTGTTATCTTGCATCCTCCGTCCATCATTGGCCAAAGATTGCCAACATCGAAAAACCTCGACCATCTTCCCTCTGCTGACAAGTGTCGAGGCTAGGGTGTTTTTAGTCAATATTGCTCCATTGTACGTCTGTGCTTTCTTTTATGTCGCCGTCATTGTCCTGAGGACTGTGATGACTGGTCGACACCCATATCCGTACTTCCGCTTCTTCTTCTTCTTCTTCCTCTTCTTCTTCTTCTTTCCTTCATAGTTCGCCAGCGCCGTTAGCGTCGTCCGATTCGCCGCCGTTCTAGGAGTGGTTTTGCACCGACTTTCCGACTTCGACTGCGTCTGTGATTCCTAGGCCGGGAGCTCCTTCGACCACTCTATCGGAAGAAGCGTTGAGTCCATCGCCGTCGCTGGCGCCCGCCGTCTCCTCGCCTTCACCATCGACTTCCGATTCGTAACCGCCCATGATATCTCCATGTCCCAAAAAGATTGGCTCTCCGGCCAGATCAAGAATGAATCTCCACTCCTCGGGGGAGACGGCCGAGACGCTGAGTCGACTCTGCTTAAGCGTCTGCATATTCTCCAAAGCGCCACCAGGCTTCGAGAACGACTTGAGCTCCCTGAGGGTGATGAGGTTCGCAAATTTCTTGACAAATTCGACCTGGACAAGTTCCCACTTGGGCTTTGCGCGGTCGGACTTCGGGTCAAAGTATGGATGCGATGGGTCAAACGCTGATTCGTCAACGGTATGTTCACCAACGATCCGCATGACGCCAGCAATGCCCGGGATGGCACAGTTAGAGTGATAGAAGAACGCCAAGTCACCCTTGCGCATCGCTCGCATATTGTTGCGGGCGACTGCATTGCGAACACCTGTGCGCCAATGTTAGTAGAATCCCCTGTGACGGACAGACAACAACACGAACCATCCCACCCCTCGGGTTCCGTCTTAGCAGCCAGATCATCGATAGAGAATTTGACATCGTGACCTTTTTCCATTCGCGACTCTGGTTCAGCCTTCATCAGCCAGTATTGTATGTCATGGTCGACAGCAGCCATCTCTGCCGACTTTGTTCTGTCGCCATTGATCGCTGTAGGCGCATTTCCATCCGAAGTCGCGCCATCCTCAGACTCAGACTTGGGCTCGGACGATGCTTTGCTAGTCTCGGATTGGACCTTCGGCTTTTTACCACGCCTGCCGGCCGTCGTCTTAGCAGGGGATTTCGTATTGGACTTTCGGGTCGCTGCACGCTCTTTCTGGGCGGATGAAGTGACGGGTTTAGACGAAGTCGAAGCTGTCAATCAGGTTAACACCAGCACACTGCGGCCTCAAAGCCGTCACCAAACCCCACGAATTTGCGACTGACTTGTACCTCTCTTCGGAATAAGTTTCGCCATCTTTTGTTTGACAGCATGGTTGGTCGCGGTCGAAGCGGTAGCAGCAGCAGCAGCCTTGGGTGGCCTTCCACGCTTCTTCATCACGGGATCACTGTTTGCGCCGGCCGAGACTGCATTCTGAGCGCCAGATGAGCGGCGTCTGGTGAAATTGTACTTTGGCTCACTGACAGAGGTCCGCTTGGGGCGACCAGCGGGTGAGACCGCAGCTTGGTCAGGAGTGTCAGAAGTGCCGACGATGCGGACTTTCTTGGCCGGAGTGCTGGAAGTTGACGAGGCTTTGCGCTTCCTCGGCGGCATGGTGATAGCTTGAATTAATAAAGGACGTCCGAGAATTGGACAAGGCTGTGTGCTGAGACAAGCTGAGGAGACAAGCCGAGGCACGTGCTGTGTAATAGTAGTGAGAGAATCGCACTGTGTAGATGACAACTTTGAACTGAAGTCAGACCCTAATTGAAAGAAAGTTGACGCGTCGCGTGGGAAGATCGCGCCAAGCTTCGCCAGGTAGCCTCGGTAGGAGTGTGCAGCCTCGTGCAGCCTCGTGCCACCATTTTGTCCCAATCTGAACCCTACAAGTGTGATGGTCAAGGATGGTTCAATGAGTGTGAAGAGAGGTACAATTGAAAGATTTCTGCGCTTTGAGTTCTGTCTGTCTGTCCGCGAGGACGAAGATAAAGCTCACTTAATTTGCTATACTTTCTACAATTCTTTGTCACAATTAGCCTCCCAAAGCGACCCAACAACTAGAGGTTGGATTCAGATTCCATCAAAATGATCACACAGCTCTGTAGACTGCCGTTCATGTCAAGGTCTTGTCTGAATCAAACACCAGCCCGCCTTCTCCCCTGCTGACATCGTCCGGCGCCGGCCGGGATTAAGAACAGCCCTTTGGGGTCGACAGATCGGACGTCCAGCACCAGCGGAGTCCGAAGGAGCTGAGCGTTCTTCATTGCACTCCGTACGAATAATGTCAAGTGATTACATCCTCTGAGAATTACCTACTCAGACATTTTAGCCATCCGGCGAAAATGTTGCCTAGATAAAGATGGCGCACCTCCAGTGAGAACATGTCGACCCGCAGTGGTCTTGGTCTCTGATGGGTGACAGAATTTCCAAGGTTGGACATCGAGTAATAGCGTGTCCGCAAGTTCGAGCCGTGCCGGGGATCATGGTTTGGGAAGCTTCACAGGATAGGGGTGGCTGGTGTACGAGGGTGCCCTGCTACTGCACGGAGCAATGGCTCTTCTCAAGGAAAGCGGAACGCCTAATGCACAACCAGTGTGAAAGGTGTGACCTCGACAATATGTATTCGAGGTTTGTGGGACAAGGGAAGCACGCAGGAAGCTTACTTGGGCCCACATCCTCAATGACACAGGTTCCTGTCACCTGTCCATCCCTCTTGCTCAGCTGCAACAAGAATTGTCCGATGGGGGTGGAGGGTGGAGGGTGGATGGTGGATGGTGGATGGTGGACCGCGGACGGTGTTGCTTAACCTCTTTGCGTACCCAATCCGTCCTGCAAGCCACGTGTTGACGCGGGAATCGACGACCTGCCCTTGCAGATGATCTGTGTCGTGGCTTCGCTCTTTGCCCCTCCCCTAGTTCAAAGCAAAGCTGACAAGTGGTGGTGGCAGTATTGTCTTTCCCAATTGAGGAAGTGTGTTAGCTCGAAGGAGACCTCAGCCAACGGAAGGCAGGTTAGAGCGGGTTTCAAAAGCACGCAATCAGCAACTAACAATGGCGCTACCTGGTGAACTGCCAGACGAACTTGTCAACAGGGAGGAGGTGCTTGGAGAGAGCTCCTGCAGGCCCAAGACCAACAACCCTGCGACGGGTCGGGTCACCTGCAGCTCGACTGCGTGCATCACATCACGCAAATCACCACCGCTTGGTGCCTCCCAGAGCGCAATCCGGCGCCTTCGCACAGCCAGGGACTGCCAGCCTGGCCTCGAACCCGTGGAATTCGACGGGCAAAGCCCTCGGGCGATCATTGTGGGGTGGGGGAGACGAGCACCTTGTGCTCTCCGCGCTGAAAACGTCCAAGAGTACTCGGTAGATTCACCATCTGTCCGGAATGGGCTCAGTCTTCTGCCCTGGTTGTCATGGGCCTAATGGAGCGCGTCGATGGGAGCGAAGTGACATCAACACGCCCATCAATATCGCTTGCAGGTCAGCCATTACCAATAGCCGGCGGCGGCAAGGTGGTTGCAGGGATGGAGCAGAAGAGGTCGGTGGGCACCGCAAGCACTGCAAGTGGGCAGGATCCTTAGCGATGGAGAAGTCCCAGAAGTTCCATTCCGCCCACGTGTGAACGACTCGGGGAACTGGCTTTCACCCTTGATCCCTGCTGGCGGGCTGGCGGGCTGGTGGCTGGTTGTTGGCGCCATGCACTGCATTGTGCAGTCTTTGGCATCTGCATCATGCAATGCAATGCACGGCGCTGCAATGCAAGGCCTCAGTAGCGGCCCTTGTTTGCATCGTTTGGGCCGCTTTGCAGGCTGCAGCACCGCATTGGCGTGCGTCCCTCGTCTTATCTGCTTTGCTTGTATGTACTCCGTACATGCTACCGAGTACAGGCTCCGCTTCGCTAGGTCCAAGTTTCTTCTGGGTGAACCCTGTGCCCTTTGTCGCCGGGGATTTTCTCTAGCCACCTTCTATCCTGGAAAGCAGGCTTGACCCGTTGGTCAGCCAGTCAATCGAGGCTTTGGGAGTATACACTCTTGATGCAATCGGGGAAATGATTTTGTCGCCCAACTTGTGAAGCAGCCAATTACACGGCTTTTAGCCGAACGACCTTCGAACCAAATTTGCGGATATTTGTTGCTATTGCTATGCTGGCTGGGCTGGCAAATTTGCTCATCCCTGCACGACGACCACTGACCTGGCCCAAGAGCTTTTTATCCAATGAATCGAAATTTTTCCACCCGCATATTTCTTCTTGAAAAGAAAGTCTTGTGACGAAGCAAATTTCTGCGCGACGCAGCTATTTGCTCGGATATCCCGATCTTTCATGCATTGATCTCCGAGCGACGGGCAGGCTAGCCTCGTGGTCGTTTGGGCTCCATCATGGCCCTACCAAAACATCGCTAGATACGGTCCAAACCGCAAAGAAGGTGGATAGAAACCTGCTGCTAATCTAGGACGTGATCTTTTTCTCCCATGAGGAGAGCGTCAGCCAGAGCTGCTGATCGCCTTCGCCTGATGGCGGTTGTTGTGCGATTGCTATGTAAAGAAAGATATTTGCTCGAGCGATGGATTCTGATTGCCTTAGCCAATGTTCGGATTACAGGTGAGGCGGGCGCCGGAAATCTAACGACTCGACTGGCTGGGAGTTCGTCCTGGGCATCAAGAGATGTGTGAGATCGAGTCCCTGTCAGCAAAGACGTTCCGGGAATTTCATTAGTTGTCTCCTTGTGACCTTGAGACTGGTCCTGGATTCCCGTGATCCTCCATCGACCCATGCCTCTAGGTCAGAACGAGCTTGCGAGGTGAGAATGTTTCGCAGAGACGAGAGACCAGCAGAGCTCCCTCAGCCGAAGGCCACCCAGGGCACGCTAAGGCGGTGAGCTTTTTCCAACAATCATCAGCATCCTGGCCAATGGAACTCGCAGACGACAACTGTTTTCACCGTTATTGTCCAATACTTCATCAGAACCACCCTTCTCATGCAGCGATTGGCCATTATTACTCCTTCTTATTGACGTCCGGACCTGGAATACATATCTAGCCCACCGTTTAGCGTCCTTTTCCAGCTTCCTGGGCAGCAGAATTGCAACTTTCAGCAACCTTTTCACGTTGATTGAGGACCAGTGGTGACCGTGTCAGGTTGGCAACCTGCAACTCAGGTCCTTGTCGGGCCAAAGCGGCGGGGTCGTCACATTCCAAGAAAACGGACACCTAGCTGCCTGAAGATGCTTCCTGGCTTGCAGCCAGTTGTTCGTCAGCATTTACTTTGGCGCAATCCATGCAGCCGTTTTCGAGCAATGCGCCGTGAGTGTCCTGGTGGACATACAAGGTCTCTTCTGCTGACGGTTGAAGGAATCGACCAAGAGCTGTCAACTGCGCTGTGGCCCTGTGAATATACCATATATCTAACAATTTGTGTGAAGCATGGGGGTCGTCTCTCGTGGATAAATATACAAAAGTACAGTCACCAACGATATGGTGGTTCAAGTCTGCCAAATAGATAGAGCCTTCTCTGTCTCTCTCGGTGATTTCTGGTTCCCTTCTCTGCAGTGTCTGGGACTGCTAGTCTGCCTCATCTCTGCCCATTTGTCCCCCAACGCCGCAGAGAAGTATTAATCCAACAAAAGGATGTAGGTAAGTGGGGGTATCTCGCAGGTGCAACACCACGACCAAGAAGAAAGAATAAAAAACAATTAGTCAAGGAAATGATATCAAGAGTGTATGATCTTCCAATTTGTGCAATAAGAAAGGGCAAGCCAAGTAAGCCCTTGTGACGGCAAGCGCAAATCCCATTCTGATCTCGGTCATTCGTAATCATGTCCCACCACGGCGGTGAAGGGATGTCGCATCTGAGGTCGCCCTCATTGTCGTCTCTCTAGGAATAGTCATTTCGAAGGAAAAAAGGGGTTATCGGTGTTCTGGTTTCGTGGGGGAGGGAGCCATTCCTCTTTCACCGGCCAGAACTCCAGCTCCTGTCAAACGGGTCTCTCCGGAAGGGGTCGTAGGATTGTGACCGGGTAACAGGAGGAGGTGGCGGCGGTCCCGGAGGCAATGTCCTGGAGGTTGCGAACATGCTCGGCACAGGGGGAGGAGGAAGCGGTGGAGGAGGTTGCGATGGAAAGCTTGTACCGTAGCTAGGTGCAGGTGGTGAATGAGTGTGCCGTCCCGTAAAACTCGGCTGGTAATCACCGGTTCGACGGCGTTGAGTAGAAGGCCCAGACTCGGCGCGTTCACGAGAGGATTCATCCGACACGGTGGGAGTTTCAAGGAGAGCACCAGTTGCGAGTGGTATTCCCGTTGCCGCAGCTGCCAGTCTCCTCTGCTGAGGCGATTCTGGCCGTGGCAACAACTGAGCAGCGGATACATACCTCATGGCCAGATCACGAAAATAATTCCTTTCCGACAGATAGTGGTCGCGTTCTTCGATCAAGTCACGCAACTCCTGCTGCAAGCCTGCGATGGTCTGTGACGCTTCCTTCTCTTTTTCCTTCCTGCGTGCGCGGAAGCGTGCTGATGCCCCCGCATTGCGCTTTCTCTTTTCGTCGGCAACCTTGGACGCCTGCTGCAGGTCCAACTCAACCGGAATGTTCAGCGGCCCCTGGTCAGTGTCAAGAG